TCTTTCCCTGCTCTCAACCTGCTCTTGGGGAGTTCTAGGCTTTAAAAACAGGCAAAACTAAACTTCCTGCCCCTCTCACCTCTATCATGTGTGCATGCATGCAGGCACACACAAAGGAATGCAAAAACCTGAGGATACAAAATCAAGTGATTAACTACTTAGATAAGGTGCTACTTCCCAACGCAGTCTGATAGCCCTTTGTCTCTCCAAGCCATCCAGATTTAGAGATCCGTGCATGCTGACTGGGGATCTGTCAAACAGCTTCTGGTATGACAGTGTGTGCGTGTGTGTGTGTGTGTGTGCGCGCACGCACAAGCACTCACATGTGTACATGGGAGGGGAAGAATATGGTGAAGTTAGCAGGAAAGACGCCACTTTTTCCATAATCATACAATTTTTGCAACCTCAGTTTTAAAGAATCACAGTAATGCCATGCAAATAAAACATACTCTCAAAACCCAGGGAAGCCCCACTTTGTCATTTCACTGAATTTTCCACATAGCATCATATTACGGGAAAGAATGTCTGACTCAAGACACATCAGATGTGCACAGGACCACAAGATGTAAGGCACAGATGGAAACGTTCCAGTAAGTTTCCCTTCAAGGAAGGCTTCCCTAGGAGTCTGGCAAAGCATGGAAGAACTTGCCCATGGGGTCAATCAGTATTAACCAAGAATCCTCTGATTTTGTGCAGAGATCAAACTGTCAGGATAAAGCATGGACTTGTTTCCATCCCTACTACTCATTTAATTCCCTCAATTTTAGCTTGCTCCTGGATTCAGTTTTTCACTCTGTGTTTCTCCTGCTAACAGGCACCACACACGTCTAAGGTAACTACACCAGATAACGCACAAGTTCTCTAGAACAGTGTGTGTGTGGGGGGTGCATCTACTATATATTAACAGAATTCAAGACCAGAAGGAACCATGAGACAATCCCAAATTGACCTTACGTGTATCACAGCTCATAATATTTCATCCAACCACTCCTTCATTGAGCCAAGTGAATTGGATTGGACTGAATATAACTTCTGTTGGATTATATGGTGTTTCTTTAAAAGTCCAGCACCAATCCACTGGAGATAGATGTGTGTCACCTGAAATTCTCTCTAGACTAGAGGCACAGTGTGTTTTGTTTGCATAAGTATACTTTGGTGAGACAGAGGAAATCAGACTGCTTAAATTAGGGACAAAGTGGTACCAAGCATTTTTTAAAGAAATATATTATTTAAACTCCTCAATGAGTAGGGAAGAAATACACTAAGGAGTTCAAATACACAACAAAGCATAAATCAAGACAGGAATTAGTACATATGTGGCCGATTTCTTTTCATACCCCATAGCAATCCTTAGCACAGTGCAGAGGTGAGACATAGTATACCTTCTCCTCCTGTGTTTTCTAATGAAGTGACATCACCCAGGATTGACCAGTGAGGGAAGAGAATTCTGATTTGTAAAAGTATGGCAAAAACACACTGAATCACTGCTTCAAAGAGAAGCCAAATCACTTCTGGGAAATGCCCTACGTGGAAAGTATCTTTTCACTTTATCTTGCCTCCCCTCCTACACTTTCTTCCCTTCTTGCCTAACTAAGCAATCTTTGATTTAATTTTTCTCCTAAAAGGCCACAAATCTTCATTAGAAAAGACGCGCCGTGAGCTTGTTTCTCCAACACAAGTTATTAAAGTAAGCGCTTCCCCTCCAAGTGTAACTAGCTCACGGTGCAACGAGCACAATGATTTTTCCATCCACTTCCAGATCAAAACCGTTAACGAGCAAAATTTTAAGCAGCTCTATCATACTACCCCTTCCTGTTCCTTTAAGGTCCCTTTCAGCTTCCAACACATTCAGGGAGATCCGAGATGCTGGGATCTAAGCTTAGAAGTCAGCAGGCTTCCCTGGGCTTTGAAGCATGCCTGGAGCACACTTTGCTTCTGAGAAAACATTTTGATCTAATTTCACAGATGCTAGTGCAACCTCAGCTGCAGCACAGTAACACATGGCTAAGAACACGGTAAGAACCGGGCACAATTCTTACAGGACAAGCAGGAGGCTGCACAGAGAAGGTATTTCAGAACGTGTTCATCTTAGACATACAGCAAAAACACAGGTGGATCTGTTCCTGGGCAATTTGCCTACTCATCTCTTTCTATAAAACAGGGTACATATTTTTAACGTGCAAATATGCACGTAGATATCTACGCATCTCAGCGAGATAGCCCAGTAAAGAAAAACTTGAGGGACATGCCCCAGCTAATCACAGTGTTAACAGGCTTTATTGGAATCAAGTTCAAGGTCAGCAATAAAAACAGTAGGAGAACTAAAGCACTGATAACAAAGAGAAGGGAAAATGAAAAAAAAATTGCAGATGCATCCCAAAGAATATTGCTCATTTTACTAAAATATTATGCATGAAACACCTGGATACGGATCCCCCTAGAAGTCACTGTTTAATAACTATGACAATCTTTACACACTATCCCAACAAACCATTCCTTAGCTGAGGCCCATATTTTTGCTGGTTGTGTCCCAGGGACACAGGTTTATCATACGTGGCACAAATACCAAATGATTTGTGAGATCTGGTGCAAGCGCCAGAGCAGAGCATCTCCTCGCTTTTCTGCACAGCTGCAGAAAGGCACGGTGGTGCTTCGGTCATGCCATTTTGTTCGTCTCCCTTAGGTTCCTTCCACCCTCAGCAGCCCCCTTCAGCCCCCAACTCCCAGTCCCTCCACTCAGCAAGCAGCAGTTCCCAGGGGCTAACCCTTCACGCGGTCTTCTTGCTACAGGCCCTGCTCACACACAAGTGAACTCTGCAATGAAAACCAGTATCTGCCTCATCTCAGTACAAGGAAGAAAGGAAAATACTCCCCCCACTCTCCAAAACTATTGTTGCTTTTTGATTTAGTCTGTCAAGCGGAGAAGATTTGGGACACTGCAGCACAGAACTACATCCCAGCAAGGGAACCTACTGACCCCATTTCGGAACGTGCAATGGCCGTATGTTTTGGTTCTTGCTCATTTTAGCACTGTGACAACCTCCTAATCACCTCCAGACAGCCTGCTTTTGAAACTGGAAGAAAACTACTCACGGGAGGTACCGGGACAGCGTTATCCACAGTTTGCATAGCTCCTAAGAATCACAATCAAGTAAGGAGTGGAACTACAAGGGTCATAGGATCATTCCAGCCCAGAGCATGAACGACTGGCTTGAATGAATATCCTAGTGCTGTTCAATGATGGACACACTGCCACTGCTGTAATGAGACCAAGCTCATCTGCAGCAATGGGTGGTATTAGCTGAGACTGTCACAGAAAACTGTTATGCAATATTTCAGATTTTAAATGAGATGTGTTTTAAAATTGGTGTTGAACATAACCTTCCTACTGCAGACAAACAACTTTGGCTAAGTCCTTCAGGTTTTTCAGCTAGAAAGTAGAAAGAATATGCAAAAAAAGACAAAGAAATTAAAAATAGATTAAAAGTCCATGTGGTTTGATACAATTTCTGAGAAAACATAAAAGCCAATTTCCTGCCATTACAAACTCAATTCCTGTCTCTGAAGCGTTACTACATTTATCTATGGATGTGTTTTATACGTGCACGTTTTATGAGGAAGGCAGCTCAGCTCTGCAGAGTGCAAGAAAAGAGTTTAGAGATAAATGGGGTATGAATTTCTTCTTTCTATTATAATTGCAGAATCTATGGAAACTAAAACTGCTCTCTTGCACTTACTGCACAGCCTGCTACTCATTTGCAATGGCTAAATCAGGAAAAATAATAAAAATCAGCTACTTCATTTGCTAGGAAATAAAGCGTGTCTCGAAACTGATCATATGCAAATGATATACTCTAAAATAAAAATACACAATACACAGCCTGAGATTTTAATTCTAGCATTTTGTCATGAGTTGACATCACTGATGGACTTTTCTTCTCCTTTGGTTTTTAATATGATCCTGTTTAACAATTTTTACTGTTCAAGTAAAACAAATGGAACTGGACACCTGAAAATAAAATAAAAAGCACATTTTGTTTCATGAAACCAAAAGCGTATTTCCCCTTTAAGAGACCACTCCTTGGTGTACAAGTTTTACACTTCGGAGAACTTAGTACTTGAAGCTGCTTTATAGAAAGATGTTTGTGGCATATAGATGCATGCTGCATTGATGGAGATATATTGCTGCCTGCAGGACTCAAACCTGCTTAATTTACCTGAGCTTGGTGTTCTCACTTAACGGAGTAGAGCACAGCACTGAAGAGGAATCAAAACGTTATGACAATGTTGCATCATACTTCCACATATTCCGAAGGCAGAGTCAGATGCCCTGGACCATGTCTTGGATGGAGAGAATTCTTTCTAAAGTGCACCAGCTGAAAGGAGACTCACCAGGCTGCTTAGACTGGCAGGTTCTCCACACCTTGTATAAGCAACTCATTGTCTTTGGTTGTTAGGTTTCACCAGCCATTTTGTTCATCTTGTTAATGGCCTCAGTGGCTTGCTCTGGCAGGCGCGACGGGTCCGACAGAATTGAGGTGGTTGTACTTAGATGCCGAAGAGTGTTCAGCACCACTAGAATAAAGGTCAGAAAAGTATCACGAAAAACCATCAATCTGACTGCAAACAGATCTGTGCATGAGAGTGTACAAGTATAGCAAGGGTGTTAGGAACTAGAGAAGTATATTTCTGCAAAACATGCACACCTGCACAAACAGCAAGAAACAGGGAAGTGCAAGAACTGTGATGAGAGAACAAGCAATGGAGATCTAGGACTTTAACTGCACTTTAGCACAACATCAATCTCTTCTACTAAAGAGAGTATCACTCGGCAATAACAACTACAGTAAATATAAATACTTGCTGAATCATAAGGGGAGAAAATCAAGCCATTGTGCTCAAACAGAAGGTTATTTCAAAGGCAAATATCAATCTGAGAAGCCTCTCCCTTTATAACGAGGCAAATCACATAGCCAAATATTACTCCAACCAGAGTGGAGTATTAACAATTTAAATGCCGTTTGAGTCTGTTCAAAATTCTGGAATCTATATTCAGAAGTTTAGTAAGTTTTTTCTCCTCGGTGTTAAGCTTGCAACCAGGTGCCGTCATAGGCAGCAGAGGTTCTTACCTTTCCACCGAAACAATGAAGAAGTAGTGAAAAAGCTGTATTCAGCATCATGTGCTTTCTCTGTCCTACCCTGACTTTCAAGAAGTGGTATTATATATGGCCTCACTTACTGTGATCTGGAATTACTGCTCGTTACACCACTACTTACTTGGCCTCAGAACAGGAAGAGAACAGTGTTGATCCAACCAGGCCATTGCAGTTTGATTCAGATCCTTAAGGCTTGTTGTGGAAACCATCCCATTGAAGGACTCAAACAATGGCTTAATAATAATGCTGAACTGCAAATCATCAAATGTTAAGGGAGAGAACAAAGGAAGAGTTCAAAACATTCTATGGGAAAAGCTAATATAGCTTGATCCACAAACAATAAAAAAAAGGGACTTTTAAATGGACTTCAGCACTGGGGAGACTGCAACATTTTAGAACTTTTTTTTTTTTTATTTATGACACTAAGAAAAAGGAAAAATTTGAACAGCAGTTCCTAGTTATACTGATTATTTTCTGTAAAATTTCTGCATGATCCAATCTCTGAGCTGCATGCTGTGGCACTGCCATGAGTGCACAAGGATTTAAAACGTCTACATACATGTAATTTGTTCAATTTCTGTTCTACCGCTTTTTTCCATGTAACATTGATGCTTTCAGAGCAAAAGGATGTAGAAGCCCTAGCATCACCAAGCCGTTCTGACTGTGGCACACCACCGATGCATCCAAGCCTGGGTACGTGGATGAGCCTCACCTGGCAGCAGTGAATCCAGCACAGGTAACAGTATTCAGCCAATTTCCCAGGTAGATTTTTCAGCAAGCGTTTGAGTTCTCTGCTAAACAAAGAGCTCCAGATGCATAAACATACTCTCAGACATGGTCAACAGCATGGCAGAGATTCCCATGCTAAGGACCAGCCTTGCCAATCTGCATCTACCCGAACCAGAAGAGCAACGACCTGAGGGCTGTCAGGCCCTCAGGCTTCTTTTGGTTCTCTGTCTTCTCTCGTTGGAAGATGGGTCCAGAGTCAGCATAACCTTTCTGGCAGAAGAGTAGCAGACAGAATTCTTAGCCTGCAGTGAGCTGAAATGCACAGAGCAACACCACAGGCCTCAGCTAGCCCCAGCTCCCAGGCTTTCAGATGGGCTTTCCTGGAATGGCCACCAGGCTTTACCTTCAAAAAAGTTGTTATAACAGTGCCAGGGTAATTCCCCAAGTAGGTTCCAACTGACGGTGTATTTATTTCAGAAGCTGGTTTGAGGAACTCATCTGAAGGCTCAGAATCTCTGGGTTTATCACGTTACCCCTAGATGGGGTTTTCTGACTATGATCAGCAGCAGCACATGAGAACATGGCTCAAACCAATCTCAGCACTGCGATACACCCTCATCTTCCTCAGTGTGTGAACAATCAAGATAAGTCTAACGATTGCCTGGAATACTAGAGAGGATTTGCATGTTCTTAAAAGTCTTTTACAGCGTGACTGGAAGAACACCAAGGGTATTCTTCTATTGGTATTCTACTATTACAGCATATTCTATTCTTAGGTTATCTCCAGTAGCCCAAGACCAGATTACTCATTTCCCTTGTATATGCAACAGAAACTACAGTATTTTCAGATTTGCAATGAAGCTTCCTTCTCTTTCTTACAGTCATTTCATTTTTTATTAGCACCCACACCTGGGCCTTGTTACCTTTTACTGCAAGATATTCCGAAATATGTCACCACGTGCTAAGGATTCAACCCAGTTGTTAAACAACTGTTCCCTCCGAGTTACATCCTGACTTGCAAAGGGAGGCTTGGGAACGCTACTTTGCCTATGAACCTTCTCTTCCTCCAACTGCAGCAGCCTTTCTCTTCCCCTAAATATTATAAACTGTTAGCTACCCAAACTCCCATCTTCATCCCTGGTAACCTCTACCACGTTCTGCACGTCCTCTCCCTTCCAAGTTCTGGAGGCATTTAACGTCTTGGAGCAACATAAAATAAACACACTATCCAAGTAGCAAACATGTGGGAGATTTTCTTTAAACAGTCATTTTCACTGTTACATTAAAGTCCTGTGTTTTTCTAATTTACCTGAAACAGTGAGTGACTTCTGCCTCACAACAGCCTATAAGGCAAGGATTCATATCCCCATATAGATGCGAAAACTGAAGAAATGAGTTACTTAACTTGGTTTGAAGTCACAGCATCAGAATCCACGGTTCTTGGCTCCAAGCATATCAGTACCAAACCTGACGTTCAGCAGATTTAGAATATAAAAGGATACAATCCAAAACTTCCAATTCTGGAGGGTCCTGTTTCTGACGTACTCATTGAACATACTCCTCATGTGATCAAATCTTTGCCGTGTTATGGGAACCCCTGTAGCAGGGAGCTGCTGTTGACAGGAACTGAAAAGAAGATATCCTGAGGTCAGCATATCTCACCACAAAGGACACATTCCCCTTCCAAACTAAAACGTAACATGAGGAAAGTGTGCATTCCCAGTTTCTCAGACTGAAGTAGCTTCCTACTAAAAGATCCTCCCAGTATTTGTTTGTTATGGCCAGGAATACATACTGTTTTCCAATCAATTTTGTCTACATTCCTGCAGCAAAGCAATTTCTCAAGCTGCCACACACTTCTTATGACAAGCAACAAAACTAAAAACAAAGTATAACATAAAACAAATCATTTCTGGCATCCACTGAGAAAGCAGCACATTAGGAGTTAAAGAAAAAATTACAGGCTTACTCCTGAGCAATGTTACAGAAGACAACGTTACAAAGATTCTTAAGAAATAGATCAATTTAAAATGAAACAGATGCTATCATACTTCAAAAAATAATAAAAGGTTTTGATATGCTGGTCAGCCTAATTACATAATGCCTGACACTTCTGTGGATGGAAGAAAAAACCCTGGGGATCTCAACACGCTTTGCAATAAGGCCTAACTATCGTGAACCCACAGAGAAAACTGGGAAACCAGAAAAGGTAAACTGACCTGATCAAGGTTTCATTCAGTCAGCAGCAAGACTCTCTAATTCCAAGACCTGCTTCCTACCTACTCAACCACATTGCTTCCAATAGAAATAGGCTGCATTTGGAAAGAAAGCTGCAGTAAAGCTATCATGAAGAGTAGGAGTGTTTGATCCCCGGTAAGCCTAGCTTTAAAAACAATCATCACTGGCTCTGTCTCCGAATTATTCCAACTGACCTGATGCAGCTTTTCTGCTGTGCATTCATGGTCAGAACTTGCTGAAAACCCACACAGTTTGCTACCAGTGCCCATCCCACAAGAACTTTGCTTTTTCTCTGGAAGCTGGTAGCAACTCTACTCAATACCCATCTGTTGTTTGGCATGACATCTGAGGCAAACATCCCCTGTTGTTAGCCAAAGCAACATTTCACCTGCATGGCTTTGTTATAGAAATCTCCCCAAATCTCACATGATGGTAGCGTTTAGCTCCTCGATTTCTTCCCGAAGGCGCCTGGTTTCCTCTTGCATCTGTGTTCTTTCCTGCTGTAGTTTAGCGATATATTCTACTGTTTTCTGGAGAGTGATTGCATGGCTGATCTAGACCAAACACAAACATAGAGCTCACTTTCTGGAACAAAGCTACACAGATAAAAGAGTTTGCCCCTAACCTGCTGTAACATCCAGAAAAGCACTTCAGCACCTTTTCTTAAGTTTCCTTCACCCTGGCAAAGCCCACATAGATAGCCAGACAGAAACACTAAGTTACGATAACTTTTTCATTTCTCTGACTCCCATTTGCAAAGTAGTGCAGAGAAATGTGGTTGCAGTAGTTTTCTTCTTCCCCAAATTGTATTTTTGCTACCTTGTTCTTTCTTGAAAGAAGTATTTCAAGAAGTATTAAAATGTTATATTTAGCTATTTATCCTCTTAAAAATAGTTACAATTCTTACTTGGGGTACTGAGGATGTGCTGCATTTGCTGATACATTTACTGTGCTACTAGAAGCATCATTCCAAGTTGATGATTTAGATTACTTGGTTTTGGGAAGCCCGAAGTTATTAAACAGAAGGTAACATGATCTAGCTATCACCAAAGGAAACAGAAACAATGTCACAGATCTTTTTCAAAAAACACTTCCAGTTTTGATGAAAGAATTAAAAATTGTACTTGAAAAACAAAATACTGAGACATTTTATTAAAGTCAAGTTTTAAAAACTGACTACTTTTCAAATAGAATTTCACTTCCTATTTTGAATAGCCTGATAACTTACGGCCTAAATGTATACAATTATAAAAATGATGTAAAGAAATCAATCGATATGCTGCTTAAAAGGTTCTGGCATTTAAAGGACATTTAGAACTCTGTCATGCAGATACGCTTATATTTCAACGATTTTGCTTTCAGTGTAGCGAGATAAGTTAGCTAGCATAGACAGAATGTGTTCTTGATTCAGATAAAGCCATTCAACATTGAGAAACCAGTTGGGATTTTTTTTTCCCTCTATAAATGTATGCGTAGAAGAAGAGCAACAGAGGAAAAAAAAAAAAAAAGATTATTTCCACGTCTGCAGACACATAGCCCAATTCTTGAAGGCAGCTAGGTAATACTGGATGTCAAGAGTTCTAGTGGGATTTTCAAAATCATCTGAAATGGTCAGGTTCCTAACTCCCATCGGGAAGCAGAGATCTCATCTACGTAGAAACTTTTAGAATCTCACTGGACACTTCTGTTCATCCTTTGATGCACCGACATATTTCAACAGTGTTTGCTGGTGCGTGAGGTTGCTTGCCATGCTCCTAGCTGACCAAAAGCAACATAGCTGTGGTTAGCACAGCATGAAGCCTAAGCTAACAAGTTGTTCTCATAGGAGGATGTATTAGCTCAGGCTCAACATCAAGATATATTAGGCCAGGCCCAGCATTCATACCAATGGCATCTATGCGGCTTCTGGCTGGCTCATGGTGCTGGTAGAGTAAGTTCACAATGCTGGCTGGACATACCCTTTTCAAGTCCAGCTACGGGGACCAGAACCCATCCTGACTGGGTGTAAAACACCAGTATGTCAGAAGAAAAGTGACATAACAGTAAATACAAAGTCATCTTGTGCTGCACACATGACAAAAGTATTATTACTGGGGTCCCAGGAGCAAGGATTGCAAATATCAGTTTTCTTTCCCCGCTGGCTTTAAAGCTGCAGCAACTCATCAGATGAGACTTGTTCATTGTTTGAAATGCATTGAAAGAATAGTATTCTAAGAGAAAAAGGGTGCTCTCACAGTATTCTGACTAGAAGCCATGGATTTCTCCTCCTACCCTTTCCAAGTCCCTCAGTGCCAGTATCTTCACTGATTGACTGTCGTTCTTAGCCAACAGCAGAGAGATTAAATTTATTAACAGCTCTTTTCAGAAAGGCTCATAGTTTCTTAATTTCCATATTAAACTGTTAGTGGTGCCAAGTTACTTACCGACTTGGAGTTGGCTGAAACCAAGCTGTTCAAAGTACTGAAACCAATCTTGATATTAAATCTTCGTTTTTGTTCGGCTGAAATATGCTTCATTCTTCGATTCTGCATAAATAAAATTAGCTCAATCTACGCTATTTTCCTCTACTTTTCCACTTCCGTAATTATTTCAGCTATTGAAATTCACAGTGTGATTTTTGTTGAATTACGGCATTCATAATCGTCCTAGTCCAAGCAACATGGCTATAAACTTGTAAACAATGATTTGAGAAATTAAAAAGCGTTCAGTTTATTAAATTCAATTCCAAACCTTTTAAGTTTTCTTTTTAAAGTAAAAATTCCTACTTTTTTCAAGACTGTTACACAATTCCCTTTTCAGACGTCCAATTCTATATTTAGGGACACGCAATTTGTTAGAATCTTGTTGTGACCAGTAAGTCTAATCATCTGTATCATTTATTCCTAATACACACGGAATGTCTGCTGGTGTTAACTGCAGACAAAAAAAAGAATCCGCAGCTGTGACCCACACGGAGGATAAAACCTTTGTCAACAATTAACATTTTCATTTGCAGCATTAAAAACTTAGAGGCTGTGTCTATCATAATCTTTGGAAGAAAATAAAGAGTCTGTGCTTTCAGAATGTGTTTCTCTGCAGAGCTAGGCTTCCCAGTAGTAACTCACCATCACCCCACTTTATAACGAAGGAAAAGGATGTAACAAAGCAGTTAAGTGGCTGCCCAAAACCAAATCAAATGCAGGTCCAAGAGCAGAATTGAGATTTCCAGTGCCCTCCATGTTTCGCCACATTGAAGAAACAATTTTACCCTGCAATAATGGAATTGTTTAGTCTAATGAACGATGCCACCTGCAAAGGAGCAAAGAACCTACATCTGGAGACAGGCAAACCTCATCATTTCTCTCCTGTCCTCGGAAAGAGTTACAGACGGTACACATTCAAAACCCAGGTGAGCTGAAACAGCTACAAAGCCTGTCTCGTTGCAGTGTCCTTACTTTTAAGGACACTGCTCCATCTAGTGGCTGCTTTCCCATCAAGAACATGCCTTCATCCCCATCTGGGGATCATAAAGGAGGGTTTCTTGTTTTTTTTTTTCAGAGGAATTTGTTCCTTTGTTAACTTACTCGCTAGCAGCGAGAATAGGCTGCAATTTACTGATCACGAGCATTTATGCTAAGCAAAGAACTGCAAACTACCATGAACATCTTGCAGCACGCTCAGCAAGCGGCACTCTGATCCTCCTCTGCAACAGAATTGGAACTGGGTGCAATCACAGGCTGCAAACGTTTAAACTTATCTCTCTGCCCCAGGAGTACTCAAGCTGACACCAACTCATGGGGTGTAAAAAGACAGAGAAGCTAAAAAGGGGTTGGCACTTGCAAAATGATTAAGTAACACTCCTTTCACAACAACATGGATGGGAAGGTCAGAGTTGATTTTCTGGTATTGGCTATTTTTTGTGGAGAGGTTTTTCATGTCATCAGAGAAAAATGTTCTGAGAAGGTCAGCTTGTATATGAGGAACAATCAGCACTTTCAGCTGCCATCTTATCCCAATAATTCCCAGAGTGTTTTACAGCTGCAACCAGTAGTGTCTGTGCTCCAAAATGGAATTCCTCTGTGAAGCAGCACAGCATCGCTGCAGAGGTGTATGAACTCAGTAGGTCAAGAACTCGCTCTCTGGAGATGGCCAAGGCCCTGCAGGCCTGAAGAGCCAGAGGAGCTCCAGCAGAACAATGGCAAAAAGCCACGCTTAGAAAACTAAGCCTGAAACCTTTGACCAAGTAAACTGAGACCTGTCATAAGACTCCTGTGAGCTGCAGCAGGAACTGTTGTCATGACCATAAGGGCCTGCAGAGCTACAGTTACGCCCGGCCCCTCCGGTAACACATCCCCAAGGAATGGAGCAGAGTGTTGAGTCCATCATTTTAAATTGAACAGAGCAGCACAGACGCAGTGCAAGCTAAGGCCCAGACACAAATACTCCACTGTTCCGGAAGCACAACTTACTCTCCAGTCCATGCTCAGACACTGGGAGAAAAAAAAATAGGAGCTACAAAGGCAAACAAGAAAACATCTCCAAGGAAAGGATACGCACCTTAAATGCAACTATCTGAGGGTCAGTGGCAGGTTTTCCTGAGCAGCTGTTCTGGGGAGACTGCGGACTGGGGCTCTGCTCGGAAGTGCAGGGGGAAGCTTGGCCCGAATTCTGACAGTCTCGGCCTTCATAAAGGAAAAAAGAGAAGTCACATAAAAAAGGACTTTCAGTAGCAAATGTTACTGCTGAGAAGTTTCTATTCCGAACACAACCGAAACATAGTCAACAACTAAGTTATATCCATTGATATAACAGCCAGGTGCTACTCAAAGTTGCTGGGAAAGCCTAATATTTCATGACGCAAGGCTAATACACACTGAGAATATCGATATATCATACTCCTCTCACACATAACTACATTTCAGCAAAGGCATATTGAATGCATAGGCTCTAATTCCAATGTCATGCTAGACACTCCCATTTGAGGCTCTAAAAGCCTGGGACCTGACCGTAATACTTACAACCCATTTGCTAGCAAAACAGCATGCTTCTCATCAAACCGGCCCAGGTACCACTCTATCAACACATAGCAAAGGAGCCTTCGCATCCACCTACCATAATGTGGATTGTATCTGAGATCCTCTGATCAAAATTATAATTACGATACTGAACAACCAACCTATTCAGCACTTTCTACGTAGATGCCTTGCAAACCAGTTTCATTATTTCTTTGTGAAAATGACGGTGCTTTGTTTTAGAAAGGGGTCACTTACAGAAAGCACAAAATTGCAGCAACTGTTAAACAACAATTAAAAATAAATATTGGAAACAACTAGATGCAACTGAAGCTGCAGGGTAAAAAGGCCTAAAAAGCTGTTCCTTCAAAAATTATCCTAGGATCTCTGTTCAGCTGAAATCGTAAAGGCCCGTTTACATCCTACTTAACCAATGGAAAAGCACTGTACATGCAGGGGAGACAGAACGCTCAGAGCTTTCTAACTTACTAGGTGTAGGCGAGGGAACTTGCGAACTGCTACTGTGGGACGGGATATGCTCTCTTTTCACCAACACATCCTGGACTACGCTTGGAGAGAAGAGGTGCGAGACAGTGGACTGGGTTTGTTGGCTACTCGGCACTTGCTGTGCTGGACCAACCAGAATGTTACTGCGGAACTCCGTCACCCCCGGAGCCTGGCAACAGCACAGGGAAGAACACACAAAGAGGGAGAGAGAAACGGAGGGAGAGAAAAAGGTTAGCAGGAACCTTGCTTTTCACTACAGGTAGCAAATTAATACATGATTAACAATCTGATGGCGTGAAACAAGGGCTAACGTGAGAAATTGGCAGGCACTGAAGTCAGACTTCTGGCAGGAGACCAGCGTCTTTTCAAAACTTAATATTACAATACATCAACAGCACAACATACTAAAACCTATTTCCATCTTCCTCTACACAACATATTGGAAAATGGATTCATGCATTGAAGGCACACTTTCCAACTTGTAATTGGAAAGTTGAGCATGCTAGGTTCTTTCTAGCTTCTGGATGATTAATAAAAAGTATAAACCATCCTCATTCATAGTACTGTGTACACATTATAATCAAGTTGTGTGAGACAGAGGCTGTGAAGACCAGACAGTGCTTCCACACAAGTAGAGAAAATAAAAATAAGCAAACCATAACGCTGAATGTACAAACATATGTTGGGTAACAGGAGAGATTTAGGAGACTAGTTACCCTCCTGAGCACATTACAGCTCTAGCTACTTGCAAGCAACAGGCCTAAAACAAATATTTTTTTTCTTCTCCTTACTCTGGCAATTCCAGCTGGTGCAATTGCAACATTAGACTGAGACATGGCTGGAGTCAAAATCCCCTCTCTTTTTAAAGGTGCTGGAGTTACAATCACAGCTCTGGACTGTCCCTGAAAGGCAGCTGAAGAACATAATTAAGTTAGAATAGTTACAGACACAGAAAAAAAGCTGGAGATTATTTTGTATGAAATAACTTGGCATGGAACAGGGGAATAGTTTAACAGTATTTGGTAGTTTTACGCTATTTGGTACTATTTCACTGCAACACAGAGTGCTACTAGTTTTTTGATAATCTCGGTCCCATAAATCCAGTGCACAACACTCTAACACCCCAATTATTTCTGAGGCTTCTAGCACCACTGTCACTGTTTCAAGGTACATTTACAGAGGTACCTAGAAAATCAGAGAGGTACAACACGTCTTCATTCTATCATAGCTAGGTTTCACAGGAGGGGCATCATCTTTGTCACTTCTCCTCTCACATCCATGCTGCTTGGATCTCAGTCTTGCTCTGCTGACCCCTGACAGAAACCATCTGATGGATGCATATTCATACTTTGTGCTTCCTTGTCCACGTACTAAATTTTCACTCCCTTACCACCTCACTCTACTAGCTCCTCTCACCATCTGATTTACAGCTGCTTTACATGACACACAGCGTGGCCTCAGCTCTCCTTTGAACCGGTGAAGTCATGGTGTACGAAGAGTCAGAATAGCTCAAACCCTGCCAACCCACACCTTGGCAGTTCAGCATGACGATACTGAAGGACACATACAGCAAACAGGGAGACAGTGCATGATACCTAATGTCCTCTCCCTTGTCTGTGTCATCTGTGGCTAATAACAATTGCATCTTGAATCAGCTCAAGTTTTTGTATTGCCTTTACTGGAAAGTCCTGTGGATTGCACAACTCCTGTGGACCCTGTTGTAGGTATATCTGGCAGAGCGCATAGTCACTCTCACCGATACAGGCAGCTCATTCTTGGTCTGAGCATTCCCACCTGCAAAGCTGGGATGATTCCCCCTTCTGCTGTTCACTGCTGTACTGTCCAGCTGTATTCATGACATCTCTAAGGAGCGGAAGAGCCTACTCTTACCAGTGCACTAATTCTACTGCACAAACTTGCTATTTCTGACTTCCACACCTGGGTAACTGCAACAACCAGCACATGTTGCAGGTGTCCCTTTAGAGGTTTCAGGTTTCCATCCTACATATGCATCTTCTGTAGACTCGCCTCTCCAAATCAGAACATTTAAGCTGTAGTAGTGATAGCAGAGTTCTTTCCCATGTGAAATCTTGCACCTGATGAGACAACGCGTGCAGTCCTTATTTCACGTGACAATAAATACATCCCTTTCCAAAAGAGGTTATAATGCAACTCACTTCATAACCATGAGATGATTTGTGTCTCCTGAACGCAAAGGACAGGCATAAATGCCTCAGTTACAAATATCGATGCTTACTTTATTGCAAAAAAATAAAGCTCGAGTGTCGAGATAAAATCTTGGATTTGACCTCTGAGCCTGATGTCAGAGTGATTTAGGAGCACTGTGCTCCCTGAACACATGCCATTGCCAGGAATGAAAAAAAAACTGCATCTGAATGAGAAATAAAACTGTCGGTTGCAATAGTGCAGAAGTAACTGATAAAGTACAGGAAAAGTGACGTACGGGATGAGGAACAACGCATACAACTCAGGAGGCGCTCAGTAAGGAAGGAGCAAAGATTTTCCGGCAATGAGAGTTGCCTACAATGTTTTACTCAGTAAGCAGTGCAGGACTTTACTGCTGAAGGTACATGCTTCGTAACAGATTACAGGCGGAAACAAGGCCAGGAACACCCTAGTGCTATTAACCATGGACCAATATTTCCCCAGTGACATGCTAGAATTAGATCGTCAGGTCTGGTCCCCTCCTAAAGAGTGATTTTTGGATGGGTAATCACAGGGCCACTCCCTGGCAGACACACCTACTCCCTAGTGAAGCCTATTTCATGATACTCCTCCAGGCAGGGGTTTTCTTGGATTACTGTTGCACGTTTCAGGTGGCTGAAGTCACTTGGCCACCACCCAGCAAAAGTCTGAAGACAGTGTGCCACAATCCCAAAAAAAAGCTTACTGCCTGTCCTGCCCTAGTCTTGAGCACTCCCGCAAGAACTGCCACCGAAACTCTCTCTTCGTTCATGTTTGCTGTTCTCAGCCTCCTGCAACGCAAATGGCTCCAAATCATACCCAATCAAAGCAATTGTGGAGGTCCCAGCTTATCAGTTACACTGATTGATATACTGAGCTAAAAAAATCACTTGCTCCTGACAGCATCTCAGGAGTCCTTAGACTGTTTGAGGCAAAGATCTCCAGTTCCCTGCACGCTCCATCTCCCATCCCACCCAAACGTCTGCTTCCCATCACTCCGGTGATGGTCTGTGAATAGGTGCTCCCATGCTTCCCTCTGCACCAATGCTGTGGTTGGTCCATTCAACAGCTGTTCTCTAGCCAACCCCCGTACTATGTCTCAAAGTTCCAGGCACACTAACTCAACCTCAGAATACAACTGAAGCAGGTAAATATTACCCTGGTTTTACAGAGGGTGGTGATGCACAGATAAGCAAAGTGACTTGTCCATGGCGACCAAATGAGTCAGTGACCGTGACAAACCTGCCATTCTCCATCCCACACTTCTCTCCCTACCATTTTCCTACTCTGCCGCATGGCTAAATGGGGCAGAGCTAATCACAACATCATTAAATACCAAAACCAAGGTTCCTATGGAGCAGGAGTGAAGAGCTCTAGTCAACCCTTAAGATGACGCATGTATAGGGCTCAGCACAAATTGTACAAGGAGATATAATCTTGGGGCTGAAAACCACCTGGTCAATCACCCCTCTGGGGGGTCTCTCTGCACACTCGCAACAGAACTGCTTCCAGTCCTAGCAGCAGTTCAGAGCACCCCATCGTGCAGCATAGCCACACTCCAGTGAATTCACAGGTCCCTGGGACACCCTCAGCAAGCTGCATTTTTACTCATTATTTAAAGCAAGAAAAGCAAGCTCATTCCCTCCTAGCAGACCCACTCAGTAAGGAGAAACACCACACCAGTGCCTCTCACCTGGGGTGATGAAGGCATTCTTTAACACTAAGGACACTGTTTCAGGCTTTGGAGCAGGCACTATTTTTTGTGACTGTTTGGGCCTTGTCCCCGCACTGGCCAGGGGAACAGCTTTAGGGAGTGCAAAAGTCAGCTGGGACTGAAGCTGGGGCCGGGGCTGCCCCTGCAGGACAGCAGTCTGGAAAGCCAGGTTACAAGGCACTCCTGCTCCTGGCTGCTGCGTTGCCAGGACAAGGTTCTGGCTCTGGCTGAAGGTGGTGGCAGGGGCATTGTGGGTCAGCGTAGCGGAAGCTGTGTGGGTGATAACTGTAGATTCACAGAGGCCAAACTTCTGGGTTTCCGGGGCAGCAAAAGCAGATGGTGGAGAGCTTAAGCTAGTATTCAGAGGCACTGCAGGCAACGGAGACTGGTGCTGTGGGGTCGCAGGTTGAAGCAGCGGCAGAGGAGTTTGAAACACTGGGACAAAAGGTTGTGGCCCACTGAGAGACGAGTCAGGAGTGAAGTCCGCTGGCTGGATGAAAGATCCCCCACTTCTAATGCTGGAGCACTGGTCAGTGCCAACATCAGGAAGGACAGGAGCAGGTACTGAGGAAGCAATCAGTCCATCACTGAGGTTCCCCGCTGGAAGTGTGCTGGGTAATGAACCTGACGGCAGGACAGGAGACTGACAGAAAAGAAAAATATGTCTGATTCAGAGTTGACCCCTGTAACTCTTTATCTGAGCCTCTTCTCAACTCCTTCTGAGGTGGAGAACACGGCTCATGACTGAAAGTCTACACGACATGCATATGTTCAAGCCGAGTCTGCTGTAAACATCGAGAACCAACCTTACCTGAGAAGAATGGCTGCTGCTGTCTGTTGTAGCAGAACTGACAGCAGACACAGAAGGGAAATAATTACTGGAACGACTGGATGTGAACAAATCTGAAATGTGAAAAGTTGATTATTAATATTCTATTTTTCATATTGATGGTACAGCATTGCTAAATAACATACATTCACAGGAGTCTCAATATTACTTAGCAAATAATGAAACCACAAAATTTTTGCTTCATACAACTGCCGACAAAGAAATTAAATGCTGTCTTCCATAGGAACTGATCTCTTCAAGGCAACGTTCTTCACTTTTTCTAGAAGCTGAGAATCACACAAATTCAGCTCACTGTTTAAGGTTCACCTATATGCATCTAGCCAAGAGCTGATTCCCACCTGTCCCACAAAATTCAATAAGCTGATGCAGTCTGCGTGCAGGCCTAGCAAACAGATGCAACTTCCATCAAAATCCATAACAATGAAAGGTGTCAGGAGTAGTTTAAAGTCATATGTAATTCTTGAGAGTACCAAGAAATGTTCCAGGGCAAACAAAAATGTTTTCAACTCTCTAATACAGGACTTGACATTTCACCATTGAGAAGTGTCACATGGGGAAAACTCAGAGATTCTGTGGATGATGATTAATGCAAAAATTTCTCCTATCCACATCTGATATTCTGTCTTTAATTACTCAATGACTTAGGATCTAAAAGTCATTCTTCTGAAAGCCACAATTAACAAATAGGTACCCAGTTCAAACACTGGGATAAACAATCCTAAAGTGATTTTCAAAGCTGGGTAAGCAAGGAGTTGGGATCACAGTAACAAGAGAGTCTCTCCACACACGCATCTGCTTGAAATAAACAACAATGAAAATGTCAAAAGTTCTCCTCCTTTCGCTCAAATTTCATAACTTCTAAAGAGAGTGGGTACCTGTAAAGTTTAGTTTTCTGTTAAATGCTAGTTCATAAATTACTGCAATTTTAAAGAAATTAATTGATAATATTTCTGATTCTTACCCTGAAAAGGCTCAAAAGTATCCATGAAATCAAAATTTGGCTGGAGAGGAATAAGCCCCGGTTGAATCATGTCAGCATTTCCTAAGTGTGCTGGAAAATTCAAGAGAGATTAGCTTTGCATCACTTGCACAGTAACATCAATAGGAATTTGGCACTTGGCTAGAACTAACACATCACAGCCAGGCTTGGCCAGCACATTTTTCATAGAAACTGCTGCTGAAACAGACTGGGTATCTGTTCCCCTTCAGGACTACAGCACCGTTCTCATATTAGACTGCTGGGGAATTAAACCCTGAACTAGTGAAAAGGAGGGGGTGAAAAGTCAGAGCCTCAGGGCTCTGACTAACAACTAGGGTAGCCTAGCCTAGACACCTCACAAGCTTACTGCTCCCAAACCTCCTGTCCTGCCGCTGCTGCACAAGACATGAGCTTGCTGTGAATCAGATCCTGAACTACCACAGTTTATAACACAGTGTTTTAAAATAAACAATCATCCCATTTCATTTTGCTTCAAGTATACTTCATGTAAACTGCAGTGGCTCTGGAGTTGCTCAGACAGTTCAGATATCTATGCAGCAAGGACAGTGCATAGTGGACATTTTCCATCCCATTAGCCAGTCAGTGCCTTCAGTTAGAGAGAGGTTGACAGAACAACATAGCTCTTGGGACTGCTTTTACAGATGTGACTTCATCTGTTCTAAGGGAACATCCAAAGATTTTGATGCTGCATAAATGAATAGGTATTCCCTTAAAAATACATACATATTTATACACACACACACACATATAAATACACACACACACACACACATATATATATATATATATATATGATTTGGATAAATAACAATGCCTTCATCAGCGATAGAAGTAAACAGTGCTCACCACAGACAGATTTATTCAGAGCAATATTAGACGCTATATCAGGAACACTGAGTAAGAAGCTAAGACAGAAATGATATTTGGATGAATAACTGGGATTCCATAACCTAAACAGCTGCACTCCCTGGGCTATTTTTATCTTTATCAGTAAAGTAAGATAAGCTTTCTTAAGCACAAAATGAAACAAGACTAGAAAAGAAGCAAAGCAGCAAAGCAACAAACAAGACATCTCCTCGAGATTCTCACTGCAAAATCAACATAACTAACAGCCAGCAAATACCTATCTCTCTGGGATTTGGCCAGGAAACCAGCTGATGTGAAGACAGCGTGGAGAAGAGTGTGTCGGTGAACTCAGACATAAGCATATCTGCATCCAAGAGGGAGCCTTCCTCCATGGGGACTGGGGTTTCTCTGCCATACCTTCTTTTTTGCCAGAGCACCACATCATCATCCTGCCAAAGAAAAGGAAGAAAAGTCAGACTGCCTAGACACAGGCAAAGCACGTGTATAGCCTTCATTTTTCACATTTTTTAGAGAAAGGCTCTCCTTTAAGAGCCATTCAAATGGACAAAATTCACATACAGCCTGCTCCAGGACCCTGCCTTCTCTCATATTAATCCACCTACTCTACCTTTTTTACCTTCTGCCACACTGCATCAAACCAGCACTCCATCTATTCTGGTCCATTTTACATACTAAACAGACCAAGGGCTCTCTAGTCTGGCATCATCATCATCTCTTTATATTGAAATAGATCGGTGGCACTCCTAATACAGTAACTTAAGCTCACTGATTTGAATAACAACAGAAAACTTCAGTACTATATCACCACACTCTGGGGGAAGTTTTGCCCAAAAACAAAAATAACTTTAAGAACACAATATAATACTGATTATATACATATTTTTGCACCTACAGTTTAATGACTTTTTGGTTTGAATAAGCATTTAAAAATAACAGGGACAGCAAAAACTCAAAGCAAACACCTCCCCAGCTGAATCTCTGAAATGTAATTAATCTGACTCCCTGTGAGGTATGTTTATGTTCTTGTGGGCAATTTTAGTACATCAGAATTACAACATCATGTGACTTGGTTTACCCCTCCTTCACTACAGGCTAAGCTAAATTGCATTGCCTTACAATGCTGCAGACTAAAAGCACACACAGTCAGGTTCTCGTGGCTTAGCCAGCTTGCAGTACTAGCTACAGCTGTCAGCTGTCAGCTGTACAGCTGCCATAACGGTGCATCAGAGCTCAGGGTCAGAACAGCTGATTATTTTGTGAACCTGGGACAGATTCAGACCTATGCTCAGCTCCAAAAAAAAAAAAAAAAAAGAACAATGCTTCTGATCATCAGTTTATGCCTAAAGCAGGTTTGACAGTTTTAGAGGGCATACTAAATGAAGATGTTCTTGTTCCTCTAAACATCTTGCCTTTCTTGGATCCTGGCAGACTATTTGCCAATGTTGTGGCAGCAGGAAGCTCTGCAACATGTAGCACACACATCCTCATATATTCAGTTACATAAGCAAGGTGGTGGAGCCAGTTACAACTCAGTAACACGATGAAATAACGTGCCAGCCCTCAAAGAGATTGATCTTTCTGAGCACCCAATAACAGTTCTGTTTTCTTTTATCACAGCACTTTACATTCAACCTCTCCTCCACCCAATTTAAACTGGAAAATTTATACTGCTCTCTATGGCGCAGAAGCATTAAGATGTCTGACCCTAATTAAGACTAAAGCAAGATGCGTGTCTTTAGATTCTAATCAATGCAAGCTACTGCCTGTTACAGCTTTGTTACTTATTGCAGATTCTACCAGCAGAAATGCTGCCACTTATCAGAGATATTACTTACCCTGACCAAACTTGAAAGATCTTCATCTTTGTGTTTCTGTAACTGCAAAAAGAGAACAAAACAGACTTAAAACAAAGTCAAAACAGAACCTGTATATGCCAGTAGAAGATATGATTTTGCAAAACTCTGATCATGCACAATCATTTTTAGTTCAGTGGGACTAATTGGATGAGTATGCCTGCATTAGCTTATTATCAGCTTGAAGTATTTTTGCATGCTAGCAAAAGTGGCACTGAAATTCAAAAAGCAACAACATATTGCTGTTAGTTCAAGTTAGTTATTTCTGCTGTGCAAACCAACATACCCTTTTCTTGAAGTAGGTTCTCCACTTGTGATATTCCCTGATGACTATTTCAATTCTTCGTTTCCAGTATTTCCCTTCTGTTGCAATGGCCTGAGAACACAACATATACCAGGAATTATACAGAATCACAGAACAGTTGAACGCTCAATAAATTTTTCAAGCAAATTTTCAGGCAGCCAAAATATGAAAGCAAGCATGCTATTTCTAACTGAGCTCATGTATCAGCGTACCAATAGTGTCCCAGAATTCAGAGAGCACAGAGCAAATCTGGCATAGTACCAGTTTCATCTTTCCCACAACAAACAAACAAGGGAGAACTTCTGACTGCAGTGTCAGCATCTCCCATATTGGATCAACCATAACCAATATTTAAGATATGGAAAAAACCCTAAAACAACTAAAAATGAACTTACTAAAATATAATGTAAGAAGTTTGTAACACCCTGACCTGCAGTAAACAGGTAAAGAGAATTTCATAAGGTTGCATGAGCATGCGTGTGCATACACAAAAGCTGTTAACAAGGACACAAAGCAATAGAAGCCTAATGTCCAGCTCAGGGAGAAGCGTGACCTTGCAGGCCACATACTGTACACCACTGCCCTAACAACAACACAGGGATCAGAACAATGCGAGTCTCTAATGTATCACAGATAGCAGTGTATGATAAACTGGGGACAGCAGACTAATGAGAGCCTTAACACAACTTTCTTGGGTTCGTGGATCATCTTTCAACACAAACAGTAACACTGTTCTTTTCCGGGACAGTTCCACAAACCTTTCTGGAACTCCTTTCAGCAGCAATTGCTACCTTGTCGTTTCCTAGAAGGGTACAGCACTTACAAATTATTCTAGAATTACACAGTACAGAGAGCAAATATTGCCACACCAAGGGCCTCACTGGTGTTCCGCAAGGAGCCAGAGGGCACCTATTAGTCTGCATGTAAGTTTACAGTAGCACAAAATGAAAGTACACCAACCCATGTTCACTCTTTTTGTGAAGTTACCTTGACAGAGAAAAAAAATTGCTTGTTGACTTGAAATCACACTTCATCAATTGAATAAAGATATGGAAAACTTTTACAGGGCCTCTTAGAGTCAATTCTGAAAAAAGTCAGCACTCTGATTTCCCACTGACTTCAGCAATCTCCAGCCAGAAGAGAGCTGTGGCTGTCAAAATCTTTTAACTATTCGAATTCCACTTCTATGACTTCAATTTCACCAAACTAGAACATAGACATCGGTTACATAGATAATAATTGGCCTTTGGGTTGCACCTTGATCCTCTTGATATGATAAAATTACAAACACTGGTTCAACAGCACATCTTTATATGATGGTTCCTTCTAGATAGAGAAATGCACCAGAGCATAGACTTGCTATGCTGCTTTATATTTAGTGGACTAGAAAATCTAGCTACAGTCTCTAGATCTCACTAGTCTATTCCTCAGGTTGTACATACTTCTGGCCGACGATGTTCATCTACATCAACAGAGCCATCCAGTGGAGTCACAAAATGGCACACTGGATTCTTGCGCTTCTCCAGATCTGAAACAAAAATGAAAAACCAAGCGCTCAGCACGCGCACACTCCACAGAAAGCCCTATCACCTGACTGGCAAGATATGAGAAAAATCTAGCCAGGGTTCCTTCCAGACAGCCACCAGGAAACGGGGAAACTTCAGACTGTACTCAGACCATACCATGCAGCCTTGGTGTTGAGATCTGTGGAGAGGACTGATCCAAAGACACTGTCACGACAACTTTCTAGGCATTTGGACCGTTATCAATTTTTGAACTTTGTATTAGACAGCAACTTCAGTTCTCCTGTCTCGCCTCTTGCATGTGTACCTTGGATAAAATATTTCAGACTGACACGCAACCAACGTTAAGTTTGATACTTACACTGCATGTACCATGCCCTCCAGATGGCGTTATTGAGACGAATTTTATCTCTCCACTGAAGTTTCAAGCCTTTAAAATTTTTCCATTTTGGTGAAACCAGCTTCCCACTGAAACAAAACAGAAAGAAAATTCTTCTGATTTTATTTTTTTCTTGCTCCTTCCTTCAAGATAAATAGCATTCTCCTAAAATTGCCAACTGCCAACAGAAGAGAAAGTACAAGCCATGCTTGGCCAGTGAAAAACAGGTTTTCCTATACGCTGTCTACATGTACACTTTGGCCAAGGCTTACCAACCTAGGTGCCGGAGAGGAGTCCAGCTTTCAAGCCTCCTTCAGGATCTGCTAACAACTGTGACCGTGGGTCTCACTATAGGGGGTCACCAGTATCTTGAGCAGGACTGCAACTCATTTCACCCAAAGACCATCTTCTCCTTGCCAGTATTCAGCCTTCTTGAATGCTAGCCTATGAGCTTCCACTAACTGAGAATAAGATTGCTCAAAATTTAAGCTCAGACTGTGGCTGACAGCTTTTTGCAGGTTTGGCTGCATTTTAGTTCTTCCTGGCTTGGATCTCGACAAGGAGCTGGATGAAGTCAATGCAAATTCATTTCTGCAGTTGCTTTTGATTTTCCAGGCTGGTGACATGAGAAAGGAGAACAAAATGCCACTTCTGGCCTAAGAAGAACCATCACCCACCAATTCTGCAATGGGTCACCAACAGATTAGAAATAGTAACTCTTCTCCAAAGAAAGGGGAGGGTGGAAAGAGACATAGCTTATGTGTGAACAATCTTCCCGGGGGGGGGTACCCAACCCTTAAAACACACCTTTATGAATCATTAATCTTAGGTGACTGACAGAACAGAGGAAGTAGGAAATCTGGTAATCTAGTAAATCTCATATCACAGATTAAAATACAGGTAGTACACCTGTCCCAGGGTCCTCCCTCGGTTTTACAGTTTTATAGTCATACATATTCCTATTTTATACTGTTTGTGTGTCTTCAACACAACAGAAGCGGATCAACAATGTAAACCACAATATGACAACGGCACCAAGAGGTTCCTCTTGAAACATTAGGGGCATCAGGCCAAGAGGTTATGGTACTTGCTTCTGCAGTGAAGAGCAGGCAAATGGGGGACACAACCACCACCACTGCTCACTACTTTGCCCCCTCAGAGAAAATGACCAAGTACCTGGCCAGATAGGAGCCACCTCGACCACAATTCACAAGGACGCTGTACAGAGACGTGCCAGACCTGGGGCCCTGAGTATTTGATACGCCATAGCCAGTAGAAACGAACTCAAAGAACAGAACATTTTTTCTCTCAAGTCCCTTAATCTTAAGCCCTAAAACCATAGTGAGACTAGGAAGTGCATTGCACAGAAGGGCCACGCGCTTCACTGGGCTAGCCCACAGCCACGTGGAGCGAGGCTCGCAGCTCAGGAACTGCCGATTCCCGTACGATTCTCGTACTTAGTCTAGGAAACCTCCTCACAGCTGCTTTTTAAGGAAAATTTGCAATACTATATACAAGCAGAAAGTCTTCGCAACCTGCACAAAAGACCCCAAAGTGCCATAGCTGCCAGTAGTAAGATACTAAACCACCACTTCCTTCAATTATTTGGCTCTTCCTTTCCCCCTTGCTAGCACCCCAACTGCTGTTACCACTCAGGTATTTGCACAGCTGCTACAACAACGTGGGAGCAAGTGCCAGACCTCAGCCAAGCTGTCAGGGAAAGAAAAAACAGCTAGTTTTCTTGTAATTTTACCACTACTGTGCACTGCCAGTTGTAGCAGCAGGTTAAATCACTGTCAGGTAAGCTGTTGCCCAAGGGCAGAAAGCTTTGTTGTTTTTTTTTCCTCCTCACTCCTTATCCTCTTTAAAAATAAATTGCTATGCTTTTGTACGCACATGGAAGCAAGCACAGAGGCCAGATAAAGTCCACTAAAAGGATTAGGGCAATTCCCCAGCAAGAGAGCAGGCAAGCCACCAGCTCGCAGAGGCTGCGTTAACCACGGCCCCCCAGCTGCCCCTCTGGGTATAGTCTGAGCCCTCTAGGGTTTTACTGCCCCTCTCCTTACGCCAAAAGGGCCTGATGCAACCTTTGGGACTCTGGTGCTTGAGAAGCAAGAAAGCCCAAACAAAATTTGGTACATAAAACAGGCCAACGCTGGCTTCCTCAGGGCAGGAAAGGCTGGCTGGAATGAGTAACTTCACAGACTGGAAGTAACGGAAAACAATGTGATCTGTCAGCAAGGAATAGGAAAAGTAATTATCAATTTGTTCATGTTATTCTCTAAGACACTGTACAACACGCGCTCACTGAAGTCTTTAGGAAAGCCCTTGTTACCTCGTGGGTATTTTCTTCTTTTTTTTGCTGGAGCTCCCACGTGCCACTCTTTGAAATGTCTCCCCAAACGCCATTTCTGAGTTTCAAGACCTTTCCAGTTGAGGGAAGCATCTCCAGGTTAAGCATGTTCTCCCCGTTTCCCCGCTGCTGCGGGCTCAGGGCAGACGGTGCATCTCCGTCCCTTTCACAACCCAGGCTACGCTATACCATTCTATTTTCTAATTTTCTGCAAGATTTTTGTTCCTCCTTTCATTTAATGCTCTCCCCATCTCTGCAAACTATCTTACCACCTCCACTGCCTTCACCATGCAGCTCTGTCATAAAATCAGACCTTTTTTCTGTCTCTCATATGTACATTAACAGTTCAGAGAGAGAGAGAGAGAGAGAGATAGAGATTAACATGCTGATGCATCACCCTAACATTGATACAGTGCCTACACGCCTTTGACTAAGAAATCTGTCAACTTAATGTTCATCTCTGGATCGCTCTGTAAGACTGGATAGTCTGCCAAAGCAACAGCACTCTATTACTTAGTTAATCGTCATTCAAAATAACAAGAACACCCGCTTTTCTATAGAAAACCTGAAAGGAACTGTAATTATTTCTTGTACACTTCTCGTAGCCAATTAAAACTAGGATTAGAATACAAATAGTTTAAAACATTTTCTATTGCATTCTTACAAAATACTAAACAAAAATAGTGCATCAAAAGAAGGAAGTGATTAAGAACCTATTCTTAAAATAATTATTATTTTTAGTTCCCATGGGAGCAAAGCACGAGTCCAACTGGAGGTCATAAGTGAAACGGCTTTATCCTCAGTGGAGACGAAGCAGCATGAAGCTGACAACAATATTTAGATCCTACTCCAAATTCCACCAACGTCAACAGACAGTCAGTTACTTTGAACCACGCTGTAACGGCGAGCAGCTGCCTAACTCAAACTCATCTTCAGCTTTTAAAGTGGCAAAAGGAGAAAACCCACTGCCTGCTGCTCCTGCCAGCTGCCCGGCCCCTAAGACCACTGCTGCTCCTACAAGGAACGCAGAGCAACTTGCCAACCAAGCAGCCAGCCGCAAGGTACTCGTCAGCGTAAAATGTGAGGGCACATATAGATGGTCCCTCTGGACAGCCCCATCCATGCGAGCGCTGCTGCGCCAGCAAGTGGCAGGAGCAGGCGGGTGCTGGTGCTGCATGAAGGCCACTTGGGGAGCGGGAGTGTGGAGGGAAGGTAGCTGGGCTCTTGGTTAAAGTCTGCAGGTGTCCTCACTGCCCGCAGCCCAGCCAGTGCTGCCCACGCACGTGACATCGGAGGAACATGCAGCTTTCTCATCTTCATCGCTATCAAAAGTAACTCAAATTGAAGTGATGAAAACCACTGGGTGGGTAATACGCAATAAACTCCAGTTTAGTTCAGTCTCCCATGGAGAAACCTCCACTTCCTGAAACCATGACCTCGACTGGTTTGAGCTTAGCAAGCCAACTAAGACAGCGTCAGCTGAACAGCTGAGGGAGCTGGAAATCCCCTTGTGTCCCAGGGCCCTTCCGCGCTTGGGAGGAGTCACTGCGTTTCAGGAAAGGAGAAGCCACAGACAAACCAGGCTGCCACCTCCCCGTGCTACAGCTTTCCCCTGCGAGTCCGAGATACGCCAAGAGAGGCTGGATTTCATTCCTGAGCTTTTTGATATATGATACTTCTTCCCAGCTCAGGAACTGCCTCAGGCGACTGAGATCCAAGCAGGCAGACACGCAGCACAGATCTGTCAGAGTAACAGAACTGTCTTTATTTTTAAAATTCTAGTAAAAATAGCTGTATTTTAAAAGCAATAAAAACATCTTCAAACCCTCCAGGATTTGCAGCAAAGTATAAGAAACAGATGTCCACTGTGAGGCTGTGACCTGGTTCCCTTAACACAAACACATTTGATTTTTAAAATAACTTTCTTTAATAGTCTGTAATTAATTAGAGAGAAGGTGTGCGTTCCAATAGGTAACAAAACAGATTTTTACCCTGGCAACATTCATTTTTATTCAAAGTTTTGCCCTTGAGAATCTCAGCATTTTGTTTTATTTTCATAAAATCCAAAACAAAGCATTTCTGGAAGAAGGTATTTGCATGGCTTCAAACATTTTTGACTATACACAGAATCACAGTATAGCTGGGCTTGGAAAGCGCCTCTGGAGACCACCTGGTCCAAGCCCTGCTCCAGCAGGGCCAGCCCGAGCTGGCTGCCCAGGCCCGGCTCCAGCTGGGCTTGAACGTCTCCACGGACGGAGCCTCCACAGCCTCTTCGGGCAGCCTGTCCCCGGTTTTGCCACCCTTGCAGCAAAAAAGTTTTTTTTACGTTCAGCTGCAATTTCCTGTGTTTCAGCTTGTGCCCATTGCCTCTTGTCCCGTCACGGGGCACTGCTGAGAAGAGAGCCTGGCCCCATCTTCCTGTCACCCTACCATCAGACATGCGTTGATAAGAACCCCCTGAGCCCTCTCGACTTCAGGCAGATCAGTCCCAGCTCTCTCAGCCTCTCCTTGTACAATAGAGGCTCCAGTCTCTTAATCACCTATTTCTGTTTGCTCTAAGAGCTAGTAAAGTGCAGGCAGCTGGGATTTAATCATCTTACTTAGAACTAAAATATTCTGAGAATCATAAATCAGCAGTCTACAAACTAGGTAATATTTTAACTGCACCTACACAGGTATTTCTAAATGCCGTTAGCTCCAACTACATTGTAACGCCCTTCTCACTTTGGGGAAGAGTACCTATGGAAGGTTGGTCTCTTCTTACATTTATAGATTTTTAAAGAATATATGTTAAAGGGATGCCTTCCACTGACGATTGGCAATGAACCCAAGTTAAAGGGTACGGCTAACAGATACTGTCTGGAAAAGCAGTTAATGAATGATCTTGCAGGATATTTTAGTGATGCTTTTGACCCAGTAAGGACAATGAAAAAGGGCTGACCTTCTTCCTTAACAGGTACGGGGCACGTGAGAAGGCCACCCACCCCTGTTAAGATGCAGTAGCTCTCTGCAATTAAAGCACTGAAACAACTCAATCCAACTCTACTGAAGTCAATGGAAAAATTCCTGACATCAGTGGAAGCAGGATCGAGCTCTGATATAAAATGACTCACAACAGAAGAATCCCCTGTTCTCCTCCCTCACATCAGAGGATTTTAAAATGGACTTTGGACAGCATAAACCCATGTGACGCCACCACCTTCTGGATTTGGACAGAAAAGGCTATTTATCTGTGTGCAAAGAGGTTTTTTTTGTTGTTTTTTATTACTAACCAATAAATCATTATTTTAAGAAACATTGGTTTCTCCAGAGAACACTGAAGGGGCAGAGGAGAAGGAAAGTTTTTTAAATGTTAAGATAAGTACATCCCAAAATAGGATTAAATCTCAGGAGGTAGGTTTGGACAGCTTATACAACCTCCATTAAATCTGAGTAAGTGTTGATTAAATGTAATATAGTACAGTAGAACATACTTTTTTTTTTTTTTTAATCTACAACTCAAATGGTTTATTAAGTTGCTTCTGCTTCAACTCGCAGTTCCCCAGCCTTAGTCAGCCTCAGAAACGGTCAAAACAGTAGCGTATCATTATGTTGCATAATTTTTTCTAACAGAAGACAGTAGGAAAGACTGTTCCACTTTGCCTTAAATAATAGCCTGAAAGCTCCCTTCCCCCATTCAGAAAAAAATTAAGTTCATTCTTCACGCTACGGCACATGAATGCCGCTGAGCAAGGAATTTCAGCTGGCAAGCCGTCTTGCGACTGTAGTGAACCAAGACCTCTGCAAAACAAGAGGTCTCTCAAGCACCCTGGGAGGGAAGAAAGGCACTGCCTGATCCCATTTAAAAATTAGGAAACGGGCAGCGAGGCTGAATTATACACCCATGGCTACAAAGCAGGTGACCTAGAGCTGAGCATGGGACCCAGCTTTCTTGACATGCTTCCATACTCTGCATGGAAAAGCCTCGTTTCCACTCTCTTCTCTTTC